AAGGGAGGAGGGAGGAGGGAGGAGGGAGGAGAGAGGAGGGAGGAGGGAGAAAAGCAGCAAGCGGATAATGTGGTTACCTGTCCTCGAAACACTTTGGCAGCAAGCGCCGTGTGGGAGAATTTCAAAGGGAGGAGCTGGACTGTAGCTGAAGGGGATTGAAGCGTTCCGAAGTTGCGAAAGTTGGGGCTCATGGCCACGAAACCTTGAAAGCGATTGTGAGAAGCGAGAAGAGGAGAGTGGAGGGAAAAAAGCCAACGGGAGAAAGGGAGGTGATGAAGTAGACTTTTCCATGGTGTGATCAGGCATGAGGGAAGCAAAGAAAATGGAACCTGGATAGAGTTCGATGGGGGAAAGAGGAGGAGAGAGGAGGAGGAGGAGGAGGAGGTGGAGGAGGTGGAGGAGGAGGAGGTGGGGGAGAGTCAAGCACTGTTCACCTCCTCCACTTATCGTCGGGTTGACCATTCGACTTGTACCGGCCATGAGGAGATTAATCTGCAGCTTCTTCTTAATTGCAACGTCATCTCCCGACACAAGAACAACCTGCCGGTACATCGAGCCGGATGGGATCGCTGCAACTTGCAGATCTTGAACGTCGACGGTTGTGGAGTTCTGCGAGGGGAGGGTGAGGGAGGAGAAGAAAAGGAGCACGGAGAAGCTATGACGAGCTCTGAGGAGGCAGGAGGAAAAGGAAAAGGGAGAGGCGAGACGGCGAGGAAGGTGAATAGGAGGAAGCGCGAGAAAGGGGGGGAGTACCTCGAGCCGTAAGGCATCGTGAAGGAACTGGTTATGAAAGGCATTCATGTCCTCCTCGGTGAAATTTGCGAAGTTGCTGATCGCAGTGGTCCGGCAGAAGTTCATGTTGGAGATGTTGCCGTTGGGGTTGCACTCCTGCCAAGGTAGAGTCATGCAGAGCAGGACGGAACGGAGGGAAGGACGGAGGGAACGCTGTGGAGAGAGCGGGAGAAGGCTTGTAAGGAAGAAGAACGAGAGAGAGGAGGAGGAGGGAGGGAGGGAGGGAGGGAGAGGGAGGGATGGAAAGGAGAGAGGATACGTCGTGGGAAAACTTGATGACGACTGAGGCTGATCCGATCCCAGGGGACGTCATGGCGACGATCTCCACGTCCGAACGCACGACATGCTGAGGAGGAAACGACTTTCCGATGGCGAGTTCGCTCCTCATGCTCCTGCTTGCACCAGCTCAGTACCAACTGACTTCGCGCCCGGCCCGTCACCTCCTCCCGGTGGCCTGGAAGAACTGGCCCCTGATGGTCAGGGAGCTTCCTCCTGCTATGGGACCGAAGCAGGGGATGACGGAGAAGACGCGCGGGACGGGTACGACCTCGAGATCAACCAGCTGCTCGCCCCAGCTGCTCGTCGCCTCGTCGCGGTACTGCAGGAGGAGCCTGGTGGCCCCATGCGCGTTGAACTTGCTGCGCATCAGCAGGGTGCCTTGAGAGTCGATGGAAGGAAACTTGGAGAAGCAGGAGGAAGGAGAGGAGGAGCAGGTCTGCCAAAGGGAGTGAGCAAGCGATAGAGGAGAGAAGATTGTGGTTGGGAGGGAGCATGTGAATGAGAGTTGGGGGGTTGCGATCAGAAGGAGAGCAAGCATGAACAAAGTTGAGCACGTAGCATGAAGCAGAACAAACATAGAAGGATGTACAACAAGTGAAGAAAGCAGTATAGCAAAAGACATAGCATAGCAAACACAAAGTAGTACAGCAAACATGAATAAGATACAGCAAACATAGAACAAATCAGCAAACATCCCATGATATCCCTGTGTGCTGTCAGCCACACCTGCGACGCGCACACTGTCGACGAACATGTCTGCATGTCAAACAGTCCTGGGACGAACAGACTCTCACTGGTGAGGGGGATCGAAACGTTGAAAATCATCTCCTATACACGAACACGTCAGGTCCTCCCTACCCTGTTGCCTCGCTCCCTTACCTGCCATATTTCTCCTCCTTTCCCTGGTATCAAGCTCTGCGCAAACCGATGGATGCGAATGAGGCCAGCATTCTCCGACACCTGGCAGGCGGTCCGGTCCGTTCAGGAGAAGCGAAACATGCAGTATGCAGAGATGGGACACGAAAGCGAAGGATGAAGAGGATTAATCGAAAGGAAGAGGATCAATTTGAAGGAAGAGGAGGAGGAGGGAGAAGGGAGGAGGAGGAGGAGGAGTGAAGAGATATCAACCGTCAGCGTAGCAGGGAAGTTACACAGAGGGTCCATGTTGTAAGGGATGACGTGGATGAAGACAATGGAGGACGAGGAGTCTTCCCCGCCGTTGTCAGTCCCCCCGTTGTCGCTGCGAGCATGTCAGACCCCCCTCAAAAAAGAGCACGAGAATACCGTAGGAGGAAGTGGATGGTGACAGACCCTGTGCGGAAGGGCTCGAGCCTGACGCGCAGGAGGCCGTCTGGCATGATGAGCGGGGGCTCTTGGAAGAGGACGGTCTGAGAGGCGATGCTGGAGATGGTGACGGTGACTTGCTGGTAGTCCTCGTTGACCCCCGCGGAGACGTTTTGCAGGAGCGGGAGGTACTGGTAGAAGGAGGAGGAGGCTTCGAAGAGAGTGACCTTGCTCCTGGTGAAGAGTACGGGAGGGGAGTTGGTCTTGAGAATCTTGACCAGCATGCTCCTGCTCGTCGTGTCGATGCCTCCCCTGCTGACCCCCCCTGAGTCCCTCATCTCCACCGTCACGTTGAGGACGGCATGCCGGTCAGGTAGCGCCTCGAACGTCAGGCACCCTGAGGAGGAGAGGACGGGAGACTTCACGTTGAGCGTGCCCGAGCACGTCTGAGCGGCGCAAGCCTGACAGTACTGCGAGACGAGCTGCTGCTCCAGCGTTGCTTCTCCTCCAGCTGTGTAGAGTTGGGACAAGTCGGAGAGGATGTAGACTTTGGGAGCGGAAGCCCCGCAGACGAGGGAGAAGGTAGAGGAAGCAAAGAAATCGCCCAGGTTCAGCTTGATGCGCTGAAAGTCTACAGGAGGAGAGCTCTCGACCACTTGGATGTTGGAGATGAAGAGGTCGTAAGTCTGGTTCCTCTCGAACCACTGGCACTGATCAAGAAGGTTTTCGAGTGGCTCCTTGCAGGTGAGGGAGGTGGCCAGGGAGGAAGAGGGGGTGGAACAGACAGACTGGTTGCCGACGATGCCCTTGACGAGAGGACGAGCGTCGCTGTAGACGGAGATGAGGGGGGCGAGGTCGAAGTAGGGCTGCAGGTTGACTGGCTCGACCACCAGCGTGAAGGAATTCACCTGAGATGCTTTGCCTGTGGGATCGAAGACGGAGAGAGGAGGAGGAGAGGAGGACAGGGAGTAAGGCGAGAGGGAGGAGCAAGGGGAGGAGAAGGAGAAGGAGGAGGCAAGGGGGGAGAGGAGATATCAGAACGAGTAGGCAAGAGGAATGTCTCACTGTTCTTACCTCCTACGATGTTCTCCACCAGCACAACTCTGAAATTCACGTACCCTGTCACGTTCCGCGCCACCTCGAACGTGATGGTGCCGATGTAGCCGTCATCCGATTGGATCACAGAGGTTGAGGGAGGAACCGAGAAGAAGCTGCTCAGGTCTTGAGCACAATTCTGCTCCTCCCCTGTCGCGAGCTGGTTGCGCACGCAAGTGCTGACGTTGAGGACGAAGTGGGTCGACGCGTTCTCCTGGTACCTCCCCAGCTGGCTCACCCTCGTTGTCACTCCCGGCGTCACGTTGGTCGCAAACACCAGCGTCTGCATGCCGGAGTTGACGACGGCAGAGACGTCATGGGGGACGAAGGCAGGAGGGTCGTCAACAGGGACGACAGTCAGCAGGAAGTAGCTCGCTGCCGACGAGCCTCTCGTCGCCTGCCCGTCCTGCACTAGGACGCGGAACACCGCAGATCCCACCATGTGGCTGGAGGAGGAGAGCTTCAGCTTGCCGTTGCTGTACAGGACCGGAGGCTCCGACAGGAGCCCTGGGTCCCCCGAGATCTGATGGACTTGGAGGTTGACGGGCTGGCAGGAGGGACGAGGGAACAAGTCGCATGCAGCCTCGAACGAAGTCTGCTGCGTCCTCACGCCAAGGACCGACCTCCACTGGCTGGTAGTTGCGTTGCTGGATGCCGTGTTCAGCACATCGAAGGTGCTGACGTCGAGGAGGAGGACCTCGGAGGCTCCCCGGAGGTCTGGGTCGCCGGCAGTGAAGTCGTCAGCTTGAGAGGAGACGGTCAAGTTCGGCTTCAGCCAGCTGACGACCTCCTGGAGGTGATCGAGGACGGGAGACTGCAAGACTGAGCTGACCGTCCTGTCAATCCTTGCTGCTGAGATCACGTACGACCCCAAGGTGATGGGGGCGGCGCTACAGATGGAGGGGGCGAGGGTGCAGGACTGGCTCGCCGGCTCGATGACAAGGAGAGAGGAAGTTCCGTTCATGCCGGAGACGACGGGGAACGACCAGTCGAGGCTGAAAGCGCCGTAGGAGGAGGAGAAGCAGAGGAGAAGCGTCTTGGGTCCTGCGGAGGAATCGGGGGGAGGTACTTCGACATAGAGGAAGGAGGAGCGAAGACCAGCGCTGATGCGGAAGGAGTAGAGATGGATATCTCGCTCCTCAGATGTCAGCTGGTGTCCTCGTAGGGTAGCCTCCGTCTCGCGCGTCAGGGTGGTGAGCTCGGTGAAGCCTGACGCGTTCCACTGGAGCACAGCAGAGCGAGGGGAGGAGGCCAAGCTCTGAGGGCAGGACAAGGAAGAACTCATCCAGTCCTTCCCGCGGACCTGGCAGCGGGACTGAGCGATGGCCAGGTAGTGCTCGTTGCCAGACTTGAAGTGATGGAGGGCCCGTGCTCCGTTGATGTTTCCTACACTTGCGTTGGTGCCACAGATCAAGGAGGAGGAGGAGGAGGAGGAGGAGGAGGAGGAGGAGGAGGAGGAGGAGTGGGGGATCCATCGGGCGACTGGCTTTCCCCTCGCAGGCAGAGTCCTGGCGTCCATGCGTTGAAAGATGCAGAAGTTGCAGAGGGAGGCGTGAGGGTCCGTACAGGAGATCCCCTGCAGCGGACATGCTGACGACGATGCTGCCTCCCCTCCGAGGTACTTGAACACAAAGACGGCGTTACAGTCAGCCTGGTCGGCTATGACCGCAGCCAGAAAGCATCCCTCATCCGAGGTTCTGAACGACTTGACAGATAGGGAGAAGGACTGACCGGCCGAGTACCCAAAGGTCTTCTCGAACCTTCCTGCCCTTCCCACGATACCGACGCGCGCATCTGCTAGCGAGGCGCCGGGAACAAACCTCCAGCCCTCTAGCGAGTTGATGCCACTGCTGGGAAGGGCATTGGAGATGAAGAGGATGTCTTGAAGCGGGCAGGTGCCGCCTGCAGCTGCAGGACAGCTGCAGGAAGTTTGTAGGTGGTCGATGTCAACCGCTCCAGCTGAGGGAATCAGCTGAAAGATGTCAAAACCGCTCCCAGCTACGACTGAGCTGTCGTTGAGCCGGGTCTGGCCGAGTTTGTTCCACAAGAAGAGCTGGATGTTTGACGTGCGGTTGTCGTACGTGTCAAACGCGACGGCAAGAAAGTCGTCTCCCGTGGAGGCGGCGGAGAAGTGAAGGACGCGGCGAGGGTGGAGGAGGTCGGTAGGAAGAGCCTGGAAGGGAGACAGGGAGTGGTGGAAGACGAACGCTGTCTTTACGTCGTTCCACTCGAAGATCATCACCTTCCCATTCCCGTTCACCACCGACATGGCAGCGGCAAGGTACGTCCTCCGCACCCCCGACAAGTCGTCGATGAAGAAGGAGGTCAAGTCAAGGATCGCCTCCTCCTGCCGCATCGCCTGTACACTCGTCCAGTCGTCCTTGAGCCTGTCGTACCTGAGCACCTCGATGACGTTGGGGACAGACTGCGGGAGGGACGCCAAGGAAGCGACCAAGTACGTCCCGCTGGGCACAGTGAAGCTACATCCTCCTCCTGCTGTTAGGTTCTTCCCGTCCGCTGGGATGGTCTTGACCCCTACAGAAGCCTCGGGGTCGATGACGTCAGGGAAGATCCTCTCCCCGTTCTTGATCCGGTCTACGAACTTCAAACTCCCGTCACCTGCGTCCCTGGAGAAGACGGCGAAGCCTTGGTCGAGGAAGCCGGCGACGTAAAGGTGACGGTCAAGAGCATCGAGGAAGAGGCCTTGAGCTCCGAGGGTCCCGTCGATAAGCTTGCCTGCCCCATCCCTCATCCCACTCACAAACATCCCCGTCCTGTTGAGGCTCCCGCTCGGGATGGCGCGGGTGAAGACGATGACGCTGCCGCGTTCGAAGCTGGAGACGTAAACATGCCTCCCGTCCTTGGTGATGGCGATGTCGGTGAGAGCGGCGAGGTTGAACAGGTCCGTGACCGTTTCCTCCTTCCTGTGCGACAGCAGGCCGGTCGTCTGGTCACGGTCAAACAGCAGGATGGAGCTGGAGAGGTAACTCGCTACGTACACATGCTGCCCATCCGGTGAAACAACCAGGGACGATGGTCCCTCCAGCGCCGCAACCTCTTCCACCGTTCCAGTGGAGAGGAGAGACTGCGAGTTGTCGGATGGCCCGTACCACTGCCGCCATCCCTTGGCAACCAGGAGAGCGCAGTCCTGACACTTGCCACAGGTTGCGGGGCAGACGACGCAGCTAGGGAAGCTCTTGCAGTCAATGCTGGAGCAGGGGACGGAGATGTTGAAGGTGAGGAGAGTAGCTGGTGGCTGATCAACACAGATGCCATCTTGGAAGCTCCTGTAGAGGTTCGAGCAGACCTTGCAAGTCCCACATGTCTTGGGGCACTTGTCACATTCGTACATCTTCGTCTTGCTGCACCAGCCCTCCTTGGTGTCTCCCCCGAAGTAGCTGCAGTTCTCCATCGGATTGTCGAAGCACACGTCCTCCGACTGCGAGTTCAGCAGGGCCACCATGGGTTCTCCCGTCTTGGCCGCGAACGGCAGCAGGTCCACGGCAGAGGTGGATGCGAAGGCCTGACCCCCGGCCAGGTCCTTGACGAGTGTCTTGACCGAGTTGACTCCCTGAAAGAGGGTCCCGTTCCATCGCAGCATCATCGACTGTGCCAGCCGCCCGTCCACGTCGCGAGCCTGCTCGAGCTCAATCTTGAGGGGGGAGGAGGTCAGAAGGTCGTCCGCGAGCAGGCTCGCTCCCTCCGGTCCGCAGGTGGGCGTCAGCTGGAGGGGGTCGTCGTAGATGCACTGCGAGGCGTTGCCGGTCTGAGCCACGAAGAGGAAGAGGTCGTTAGGGTAGGCTGGGCTGAAGGCATGCATCCTCCTGGCCCCGTTGGTGGGGATGAGCTGGAGGAGCTCGAAGATCGGCCTCCCGAGCTGGTCCGCCTTGACCTCCAGCAGAAGGGAAGTTTGCGCCGCCTCCTGGGCGAAGGCGAGGAACTTCCTGCCGGAGAACTCGAAGTAGGTGACGTCACGCGCCCCCGAGGTTTCCAGCTCGTACACTAGCTGCTGCTGCAACCTACCATCGGAGGCCAAGGAGAGCATGTAGACCTGGCTGCTGGTTGTCTGCTGGACCGCGACGAAGTTCTGGAAGGAGGGGGAGTTGAACGCCAGGGCCCCAGGTGAGCCCCTAGGAGGACTCGGCAGCAGCTCTGTTCTGCTCTCGTTTGCGCCATTGGCGACCGCCAGATATGTCGCTCCTCCTGCCTCGAACTGAACGACCCGGGAGGAGCCGGCGGTACTGAGGGTCGTCACTCCCTCCAGGTCCACATAGGATGTGCTGGCCACTAGCTGGGCTCCGCTGGCTCTTGTCAGAGTGATGCAGGGGCCGTACCCCTGTCCGAAGGGAGCAAGAAGGCAGGTGGGGTCCCCCTCGCACATCTTAACCAAGTTGAGGCCCTGGAAGGTACCTGAGGCGTTTCCGAAGCCGACGCGGAAGTAGATGCTGGCAGGACGGTAGAAGAAGAAAGTGTTGTCGTCCTTGTAGTTCCACAGGCTCCTGTTGTGATTCGACTGCTTTGTGTACAGCCAGAGGACCAGGAAAGGCTCCTGCGTGTAGTGCTGGCCCCGCTTCTTGATCGACACTGCGCTCACCGCTCCCTCCACCACGGCCTCGACCCTCGCGCCCAAGACGTCTACGGGGACGGTGGTGGAGTATAGAGGATCCACGAAGGTCATCCAGCAGTTCTCGCCGACCTGCCCGGGAAGGACGACAGAGGTCAGCTTGCTGGCGTCCAGGACGACCGACTGGGGGGAGGCGTCGAAGTTCACGTTGACGACGCCGAGAGCGACGGGCTGGCAGTTGGTCGCGCTAGTGCACTTGCCTATCTTGACGGGAACCTTGCTCCTCCTATCGAAGCAACACCGGTTCACTCCGCCAGGGAACGGCGTCATGTACATGGGAAGCGTGCAGCTGGAGGCGTTGGTGGGGTAAGGAGAGCACAGGAGATCCTGTACAGACTTAGGGTAGACGGTCAGGTTACCGTACTGGCGCAGAAAGACCTTGAAACCAGCTCCCGTCCTCCCGCAGAAGCAGCAGGCGGACGAGGCGTTGGCCCCGTTGAAGGGAGGCAGCATGTAGGAGGCGTCGGTGCCGTTGAACCCGCTGAAGTTCCACCCGCTTCCGAGCTTGGGGAAGAAGGTGCCGTTGTAGAAGGTGCCGGTCTGAGAGCAGAGCGAGCGGTTCTGGTAGATGGCGCAGGTTCTGTTGTAGATATCCTTCCAGTCAAGGTCCCGGCACTTCCTGCCGTTGGGCGTCGGGGCGACGCAGAGGGAGGGAGAGACGCTCCAGATTGTCGACTGCTCGGAGTCGGGGTTGAACCGCGTACTCATCCAGCACTCCCCAAGCAGGGAATTGCTGTTTGGACCGAAAGTGATGGCCGAGCAAGACTCCAGCAGGCAGACCTTCTTGCACAGCTCGAGAGTTGTGGTGGGCACGGCCCCCTTCCAGGTGCTGCCATTGAGGAGCCTGTACGAGAAGTTGCTCAGGTTGGCGTTAAGCACATCCACCAAGACTTCGTACGCGTCCCAGCTGGAGGGCAGCAGGCTGTCGTCGCAGTTCTGGACCATGTAGCTTGCGTACTCCGAGCTCTTGACGATGGTGGAGTAGTGCTGCAGCTTCATCGACACGTCGACCCCCTTAGACTTGTTGGTGGTGTCGTCGAACTTGGTCACATACTGGGCCGTCTGCACGCTGTCCTGGAACCAACGGGCCCAGTTCTTCTCGACCGTGAGGACGCGATCGGACTGGCGGACCTGCCACGAGGCTTTCTTGAAGTCATGGTTGACGTAGATGTAGTCGAGCTGCATGCGAGGCATGATGATGGGCTGGATGCTGTTCTTGTCTGGAACTGGGTCGACGAAGGTCACCCGGGGGATCCGGGTGTACCCGTTGCCACCTACAATGACATTGAGAGCGGCGGGCCGGTACCGAGCTCCGATGGACTTGTTGCAGAACGAGCTCAGGTCAGGTACCCACGTCACGTTGACCTGGGCTGGTACTGCCCCCACGGCATCCGGGAGCTCGACGGAGGCTACAGTGAGGTTGCTGAAGCAGTTCCCCTGCTCCAGGAGGAGGATGGAGTTGAGCGAGAAGGTCGTGATGTACTTGACGTCCAGCTTGGGGGTGATGTCGACGTCCTGGATGCTCGTGAAGCCGATAGCTGTCTGGAGCACTTTGAGCTCGGTCAGGTTCCCCTTCACGTCGTAGTATGCTAGAAACCCTTGCCCTGCCGTCGCTGCCTGCCTGTCTGCCGCACCAGACGCTGTGATGTACCCGGCAGTGTATCCCTCCCCTCCATCGACGATCCGCAGCTCGGAGATGGTAGTCCCGCAGCTGCACTGGTCGTCCTCGACGTCCAGCCAGGGGTCGGAGGTGTAGTTGGAACCATGGTCAGCAGCCTGGAGGAACGAGAGGGAGCTGAGGGACCCGTTCTGCCTAACTGTGTAGCTGACGGAGACGCTGCGGCCGAAGCCGTTGCGGTGGAAGATCCTTGATGGCCGGTAGCACCTGTTGGAATGGGTCAAGTTTGCGCCCGTAAGGGAGGAAGCGAGGCGGATGCTGGTGATGGAGTTGGTCATGGATGTGTTGTAGCAGCCGGAGTCGTCCACCGCGCATCCCCTGGGGTACCTGACCTCCACCTGCCCCTGCACCAGGAGCGAGCTGCAGGCCAGCTCGTGATCCAGCTTGCACTGCTTGCTCGGCTGGAACGGGTCACAGCTGGCAACCTTGCAGGAGCTGTCAAGGCCTGCTAGTTGCGAGCCGAGGCCGTTGATGGGCTCGGACGAGTACCCGGCGCCCTGAGAAAGGATCGAGGCGCAGGAGAAGTTCTGGTCACATCGAAGAGAGCCGCCCACAAAGGAGTTGGTGGAGGGGACGAAGACGAGGGGAGTAGCTGTTAGGGAGGCCCAGAACCCTGAGCCCTGCTCGGCGACTATGGCAAGGTGGCCCGACACGTATCCCTGGCCCGAGAAGGTCAGGCTGATCCTGCGCACTGCCCTGTCAGTCCTCCAAGGGAACAGCTGGACTTGGCCGTGGTAGTTGGCGACGGCGATGAAGACAGCCGGGGAGACCGAGGAACCACCGGTCACGTTGACCGCAACCAACTGGGTTGCTCCGCTGGTGGGGATCAGCTGGAGGGGGGAGGCCTGCAGGGTAGTCTCGTCGAAGAGGGAGAGACTGGAGAACGTGTTCACATCAGCCCCGTCCCAGTAGTTGGCCATCGCCATGACCCTTGACCTCAGCACAGGGTCTCTGAAGAAAGTAACCTCCGCCGTCCCCAGCCCCACCGCCTCCCTGAAGGTGAACGGTTTGTCCCGCACTGTCCTGCCCCTCGCGTCCAGCTGCTTCACGAAGCTCTGGGTGTAGAAGACGAAGTAAGTCACGTCCCCCCGGGCCCCCGTCAGCTCGAACTCGGTGCTCCAAAGCTTGCTTGAGAAGGTCGACCCCGCCACGCTTCCCTTGGTGCACCCGAACCCGAGCTCTGCGAAGCAGACGATCTGCCACAAGTTGGCCCCAGGAGACGCCCAGCTGCTCTTCTCCACCACCGCAAACTTGCTCGTCCTGTAGCCCAGCGGCCATAGCGGGGTGCTGCACTTGATTGCGCAAGAGACGGTGGTGGATCCGGTACAGCGATCCTTCTCCAGTATTGCCCTCGTCTCCACCGAGTCAGCCCCAACTATCCACCTGCAGGCGTACAGCATGCTGTTCTTGAACGCCCCGAATACCTCGAGGGTGTGAGGGTCAGCAGCAGCCGAGCTAAGGAGGGAGGGAGAAGCGTCGTTCGTGGTGGTCTCCGCGCGAAACCAGTAAGAGTCCATGGAGAAGGTAGTGTTCTTGAAGGCGCTGCGCGCGTTGTACGCCTCCTCCACCTCTGACCCGTTGAGCCTCACCCTGTACATCTTGAACGTCGACATGATTCCCATCAGGTTGTAGTTGACACCCCCCAAGGAATCTCTTCCTCGGCCTAAGGTGAAGGTACCCACCCTGTCGGAGGCTGCGCGCCCGGGGTAGTAGATCTCACAGGCAGTCGGGGGGGTGCAGATGGAGACTTTGCCGATGACTAGCGAGTTGACGTAGATGAGAGCGTCGAATCCGTCGAAGGTGAGGACGATGTGGTACCAGGACTGAGTCTTGAAGGCAGGGATGCTTGCTGTAACCGTCTGCAGCCTCTGCCCAGCTGTGATGATCACGTCCCACTTCAGCGTGCAGGACGAGGACGTCTGCGAGTAGAACAGGCTGGTGCCAAGGGGAACCCCTACGTCGTTGACAAGGGAGAAGATGCCCTGGTCGGCGGCTGAAGCCAGGGGGTAGAACAAGACCCAGGTCTCGAACGTGACGTTGTTGGTCGGGAGGAGCGACAGGATGGAGGTCAGCGACCGGGTCACGAAGAGGCCGCTGGTGAACTCGGAGGGGAACTGCATGCCCTCGTCAAGCGCGTTGTTGAGGACGAAGGAGTTGAGGTTCTGCGGGTTCGCGGTCATCTTGCAGACGTCCAGCTCGGCGTCTGGAAAGTTTCCGGTGAGGTCGCTGAACCTGCCAGGCTCCACTGATACGGAAGAGGTGATGGTAGAGCCGCATATCCTCGTCAACGTGGCTGCATCGTAGGAGATCTTTCCTTCAGCCAGTGAGCTCCGGAGCTCCCAGTAACTGCCAGACGGTCAGAGATGAACATGGAAAGCAGGACGAGAACATGGAAGCGGACAAGAAGCGAGAAGGGCGAGGAGGATAAGTGGAGAACAAGGACGAGGACGAGAAGTGGTAGATGAGATTACGCGATGGTACTGGGCCACAGGTAGCCGAGCTTGTTGGCTTGGATGAATTTCTCCACCATGTCCGTGTTGGGGTCGTTCCAGACGTCGAGGGGAGCCCCGGCCCTCTCGTTGGAGCAGCCCTGACTCACGACGAGGAGCTGGCCAGTAGCAGAGTCCAAGATCGTACTCGAGCATCTGCGGGGCGAGGGGGTCAGCGACCGGGAGTGAAGAGGGCTAATAGCCTGTGGGAAACTCACGGATTCTGAGTGCTGAATGAGCTCCCCTGGCGGTAGCGAAAGCGCTTCTCCTCGTTCCCGCGGCGATCCAGCAACTTCATGGTCTGCGGGGCCCCCTGGTGCTCGAGGATGGTGATGGTAGAGTTGAGGAACCCAGCCACGTACGCGTGGTCGAGCTTGGGGGACCTGGAGGGAGCAAGAGACGAGGTCAGACCGTGGGAACAGGAGGGACTAGGACGAACATCGCGATCTTGGACTGCGGCTCCAGCCCAGGAAAGGAGTAGTAGCTATCTTTCCTGACTCCCTGGAAGGCAAGTCGGTCTTGGCTGTCGAGAGAGAAAATATTGAGGCCGTAGGGGAGAGCAGCGCCGGATGTAACTTCCGTCGCAAACCCCTCGAGCTCGATCGCCCCGAAGTCTTCGAGCACCTGCAGGCAGCCAGTCAGCAGGGGAGAAGGAGGACGAGGACGAGGACGAGGACGAGGACGAGGACGAGGACGAGAAAAGAAAGGAGACGGGCGAGGAAAGCAGGGGGAAGAAGAGGAAAGTTAGAGGACGAAAAGGGAGGTCACGGATGAGGCAGAGGAGGGAGGGAAGTGGTAGGAGTAATGAAGTAGAACAGAAGGCGGAAGGTGAGAAGAAGGAAGCTGGGAGGGAGAAGGAAAAAGTGAAGAGGGGGGAGGAAAGGGAGCGTTCGCTCACTTGGATCTCAGCTCTCGATGACGTCACGCTGCAGGCCTCGTTGGAGGAGACGACCTGTGCTTCGTTGGGACAGGAGCAGGAAGCTGAAGTTGTGCCAGTGGTGCACTGGACGCTGCGCTTGAGGACAACGGAAGGACTTCTGTTCGCTCCTTGAACGATGATGGTGAAGTGCTGGAGGGGCGAAGAATCGTTTCCTCCTGGACGAAGCACCACGGTCAGACAACTCCCACGACCCACTGGCCCCCTTCTCTCTCTCCACTCTGATTTCCCTCCTTCTTCCTCCTTCGCTCCTCCCTCCTTCTGGTTGCCTCCTCTACCCTCCACCTTCTAAACCCTCCTCCTCTTCCTCCCTCCTCCTCCTCACCATATTGTGTTCCTCCATCGTCAACCAGCCGCACTGAAATCAGGGCCTGCGCGAACGTCAACAAGGAAGCTCAGAGTAGGGAGAGGAGGAAGAGTGAGGGGAGGAGGAGAAAGAAGGGGAGGAGAAGGAGTAGTAGCAGCAGTCCGGCGGCGGTGGCGGCAAGGGCACAAGGACAATCGGCAGATAGAGGAGCAGGAGGAGGACATGGGATACCTCTCCGCTCTCGACCGGGTTGAGGATGAATTGAAGGGCTCCAGAGGTGGAGATGGAAGGGAACTCATGGAAGAGCAAGGGGTTTCTCTCCACGAAGAGCTCGAAGGAAACTTGCTGGCATGCCCGAGCATACACTGCCTGCTGCTGGCAGGAAGCTGAGCCGAGGCAGTTGCCGCAAACTTCGCGCTCGGGGAGCCCTGGGAGGATGTCCGAGGCGAAGCCGGGGAAGAGGAAGTTACAGCCGGAGGGCGCGGAGAGCGAGAGGTTGGGAAAGGAGAGGTCCCACCCCCCCTGAGCCCTGCAGAAAGTTCCTTGAAGGACCTGGAGGCTGGGGGTCAAGAGGGTCAGGCAAGGGAGAGAACGGGTCACCGTGACGTTGGACTTGAGAGTAAAGGATGGCGCCCTGTGAGGACGAGAAGAGTCAGAGGAAGGCGGGGGACGGGGGCGGAAGGGATGAAGATGAAGGGCACAGGAGCTTGAGAAGGTGATACAGCAACAAGCAGGACAAGAAGCAAGGAGGAGGAGGAGGAGGAGCAGGAGGAGGAGGAGCAGGAGGAGCAGGAGGAGGAGAACTAGAGGGACAAGAAGGAACGACAAACATCGTGTCAACTCTTTTCGCAGCTCAAACTCACGTGTTGACAGGCAGGATGTGCACGACGGTAGGGACAGAGAACGTCGGGATGCCGTAGACGAGCAGCAGAACCTGACGAGGCGTCAGCGCCGACGAGAAGTGGGAGGAGGAAGCTACATGAGCAGGAGAGAAGCCAGTAAAGAAGTCTCTTGTTGTGATGGAAAGTGAGCGATTGGAGAGGAAAGAAGCTTTCAGGATGAGGAGATCGTAGTCGAGGATGAGCTGATATTCGGACTGCATCTGCATTATGATGTGAGCGACAAGAATGACGGTGGCGTTGTTGAACAGGAGAACGAGGAAGAGGAAGAGGACGAGGACGAGGACAAGGACAAGGACGAGGACAAGGACGAGGACGAGGACAAGAGGACGAAGAGCAGTACCTGACTCCAATCTCGTGCAACGCACTTGCAGTCACGGAACTTCGGGTCACATTGCAAGACACCCTGGGAGTCCCTGGCGCTGACGATCTCAAGGCCGACGAGCATCGGGAGGAACAGGCAGGGCCAGTCGCTGAACTCGGAGACAGCAGTCGGGACCAGATTCATCCCGCTCCCTCCAAGCAGGCTGATAGATGATGTGGCGTTGAACAGCGGGGGCTGAACGCAGATGCTGAGGTTGTGAGCGACGCGCCGATTGTCAGCGAAGACGTGCAGCAGCTGAAAGTCGTAGCAGCCGAGAGCCTCTGGCGTCAGCTCGAAGGCGAGCTCTCGGTCGCGGAGGGCCGGGGGGGACACGAAGTCCAGCATGAGCGACTGGTTGACTGGGATGACGGAGGAGTTAGCGTGCTCGCCTGGGAAGAGGGTGAAGTTGGAGAAGCGGTAGGCATTGGGCCCGGAAAAGTTGCAGGAGCGCAGGACGGGGAGGTAGAAGCTCTGGAACCTGTCTTCGAACCATGGGGACCTCGAGCTGCAAGCCAGCAGAAGTCAGCTCCTACCCCACCAGCGCCACGTCACTCACGGCATCATCCTCCACTCGTAGTCGCCGTCGCAGGACGAGCCCTGGATCAAGTTCAAGCTGGACTGGCAGGTGGAGAACCCGCGGTCCAGGTCACAAGGGAACTCCACTGCGAGGTGAAGCCGAGGAAGCGACTGGACACGGATGGTGAGGTTGAAAGGACTGGCGTCCCTCCCCCGATTCTGCACCCCCCCGCTGTCATGGAGGATGACGCGGAAGGTCCCCTGGCCGAACTTGAAGGGGGTGGGGGTGACGAGCAGGTTCACGTCCTCGCCCTGGGAGCAGAAAGACGCCACGTCGACGAGGGAGACATGGCAGAAGAAACGCATCTCTGCAGCATCGTCAGCGGTCTGCGCGGGGAAGATTTCGAAGTCGAGACCTCTAATCAGGTCGGGCTCGCCGTCCACCTGCTTCCATGAGAAGAACATCATGTCCTGGTCTTCTTTCCATCCCCCCTGCACCAGACCGAGCTCAACACACACACTCGACCCTCCAGGACCGAGACGTACCCCAGACAGGTTGGTCGCTACCTTCCACTCGACCACGTTGACTGCGTTCTCCTGCAGGAGAATCTCCCCCGTCCACGAAGGGGAGAAGACAAGAGTCGGAGGGTCGTTCACGGGTAGGACGCGGATCGTCAAGAAATCTGCCGATCGATTGCCGACGGTGACGCTGAAGTTCGCAATGCCATTCCTGTTAGCCATCAGCTGGAGCAGGAGGTGGTTGTCCTGCCGTGGATGTGAGCTGCTGGAGATCTAAATTCTCCCGGTCTACCTGGATAGCTGGAGGGTCCGTGAACAGATCGGTCGTGGTGAAACTTTCCGTCAGACTGTTGGAGGGGACCTGAGAAGCACATAAGGGAGGGAAGAGGAGCAGGCGTTTCCTTACCCTGCTCCACTGAAGTTTCATAACAACGCCATGGGACGTCTGAAGTTGTGGGTCGAAGGCTTGAAAGACTTGATTGTCCACGCAAGTCAAGCTCAGACAATCTTGAAAGAAACGTCAGAAATCGTCACGGTCGAGACTGGAAGACGAACCTCGGATACAAGAAGTATCGTCTTCGAAGACAGCTAGACACGTCCGTCTCAATCTGAAGGCACCTTGAGGAGAAAGATCTCAGAAATCTCAGAGCGATTTCGTTGACAAGTTTACCCAAGTCCACACATCGCCCTGTTATCTCTTCGAACCCATTCACACAACTGCAGTTGTCCGCCGAGATGCTCCCAGGCGCTGAGCTAGCGTTCGGCAAGCATGGCATGCAAACGTCACTCGAGGTTCCTCCCAATGTGCCCGAGTACTTCCCAGCCGGACATGTCGAACAAGCAGAAGATCCCGGCTGGTCGTTGTAGTGACCTGCAGCGCAGTCCTCACATGCACCTTGCTCTGCTGAGGCCTTGAACTTCCCCAGCTCGCAAGGAGAACACGCGTTCTCCAGAAGAATGTGACCAGGCGAGCAAAATAGACATTCGTTTGATGATTTGTATGTCGCCTGAGGGCAGGAGCTACACACCACCTCTCCGGCTACGATCTTGCCGATGCTGCTGTTGGAGCATTCGATGAACGGGATCCTATCAAACATGTAACGGACGATCTCCGCATCAGTCCTGGAAGTATTCCAAACTCGAAACTCCGACAGGTTGCCAACAAAAGGCTGGCTGTCAGACTGCAGATTTCGGATCCACAGCACTCCAGGTAACGTAGAAACGCTGGGCAATACATAACTGTCTTGCAGCTGACCATCAAAGTAGAAGATCAGCATTGAGTTCGATTTGACGATGGCAAAGTGATGCCACGTTGTGTCATTGCGCTTTGCACAGATTCCATTGGAGGCCGTTACATCGTACTGCACCCCGTCATACGTCATGAAACATCTCTCTGTCGCAATCTCGCGACAAAAGTTCAAGATCAAATCATTCTCGCGGCTGAGCACGCTGAATATACAAGTGCTGTCATTCATCTGAGCCCAGAACTCAACCGTCAATTCAAAGTCGGAAGATGGGCTTGGGAAGGAAAAATTCGTGCTGAAACAATACTGATCTACCGTATCAAGAAAGCGAGCATAACTCCCATGAATCTTGAAATCGGGCGGGAAGCTTGCAAAGGACATCGAAGCGCTCTCAAGGTCATTGCCATACCCGCTGTGATCCACCGTATCGCCTTCGAAAGGGTACAGCCCTATCAACCTGCTCTCCACTGCTCCCACGAGTACCAAGAGCACGCCAACGGCAACTTTGAAGGACATCTCAGCTAGCAGACTGCTCCTGGGTTCAGGCACAGACAGGAGGACACAGGTCCTGCTCCTTACAGCTTGCCTCTCCCCCTCCCCTCGCAGGAAATCATCAGCTCCTCCTCCCCTTCACCGCCATGTCTGCCTCTTGGTACGCAGGGTGACGCATAACAGAGTTTAACACAACTTGACTCGGGGCCCCTCATCCCCCCATCTGCCGCACATTTCACAATGTCGGATTTCAAGTGCACTCACGGTGTTGGTCCCGGCGAGTTCTCAGGAGTCCGGGTTCCGAGTGGTCACTGTGACACACTGTACGGTATGCGTCACCGGCGGCGTCACGGCGTGGTACCGTCACCGCCGGTCCGCCGGTCCGAGTCTCAGGCGCTGCCCGGGCCAGACACTGATGTGCTCCCGGAGTCCGGGCCGTGTTAGCTTACCTCAGGGCCTGTCTCTCGGTGCCGCGTCACTGTGACAGCACAGTGTGACTCCAACAGTCCGAGTCAGTGACGTCCTCCGAGCAAAAGGAGCTTTGCTCGGGGCGGCCCCTCGCCGCTGGCAGTGCCATCCCGGGACCGGATCGTGCGGCAGCGACGGCACGGTGCCGCAAGTTGACACAGTGATGAGAGTCATCGGCGGCACGGTCCGAGCTTCAAGCCCGGCGTTTTCAAAGCAGCTGTCTCAGTGGCCCACTGACAGCGGCGGCCAGTACCGTACGGTCCGGTCTGCGCTGACTCAGTCCCGTGCCTCAGGCTCCGATGGCCGGACTCCGGGACCATCCAACGGCCGGGCCCCCGTCGGACTCCGCATTCAATCAGTGATCATAGGCCGGATTGGTAGGTTGGAGTCTCAGGCGTGACGTGACTGAGCCTAAAGCTCTTACTGCGGTCGCAGTATGTGTGCCCTCATGCTGCAATCATTTACAATCATCACGTAATCATTTAATCCGTCGAAAAAATATCTTGCTCTAAGAGGGTGGAAAGCTTGATCTCCTGAAACATATCCAGTGAGATCGATATCGTTTCTCATCAAACAATGGTCAACCTGAGCCTGGCAATTCCTCAGACTTAAACCTGGTGGTGTGAAAGTCAGCATGAGGACTCAGTTCACAACCAACACGGCAACCTGTCAACGCATAGATGACACCCCAGTGAGCAACCACGACGATCCTCTGCTCTTCTCGCGTCTGTTAGTATCTCGTAAGCAATCCGAGGGAACCATTCCAACATCATCGGTGGGCTTCACCTTCAGCCAGTTCTTGAACTCCGTCAGTCGTTTCCTGGATAACGCACGTATCACCAACTCAGTCCGTGGGTCGACGACGGACTTTCACCGGAACACCGATTCTGGTTCTCCAGCACAGACGTATCGACCAGGACTGCATTGCAAGGTCACACAATGACAGCAAATGACCAGGATGTCTCAAACCTCCGCCACTCCTTCGTCTGCCAGTCATCCTCAGTCGTGTACCACCAGACGTCCTCCATGTCCCCAAACTCCCAGGAAGGATACGCGGACCGCAGCTGAGACGTCGGAGTGCCAACATCGGAAGACAGCCACATCCTCTCCCTCACGAGTGGATTCACTCGACGCGGGATGCACTTCAAGTTCTCGCCCGAGAAGATGAGTTGAGCCGTGTCCAGCGCACGGGAGAGTGGGGAGCTGACAATAAGATCCAAACCTTCTCCGTTCTCCTTCCATGTCTCCACTTGCTCTATCATCGCCTTGCCCAGTTCTGCTGCTTGCTCCTGCCCCGTCACCGTCAATCTCGTGTCCCTCATCCCCGGATCCACAAAGTCCTTGCTTCCGTAAGGCACCGACCGGAGGTACTCGTTCATCTCCGTCACACCATGTCTGATGAACAGAACTTTCTTTTCCCAGGGCATCCTGCTGGAGGGACTGTCTCCTGCCTTGTCAACAAGTCCTAACATTCAAGTTACAATGTTCATACACCTAGAAGCAAGGTACCGATGTTTATTGAGATGTCCCGACGATTTGAGTTGATAGCATCAAACTTAGCAGCGATATCACTCCCGGCGCTTACTCCAGACTGTTGATTAGGAAGACTCATTTTCAGTTTGTTCATCAATCGATCACTTTTGACTTTCACACGAGCGAAACTAGATGAGGCTACAGTACATGTTTGGGTAGTTTGCTTTGAGGGTGAGAAGTGCAATACGGGAACAAAACAATTTGCCGGAAAGACCTGTATCAAGAAGACTGCAGACATGAGCACGTTGCAGAAAGAAACTTTATATGCTGCATGATGATCGGCAAAGCTCATTTTCCTGTGAAAAAAAGTCTTTTACCTTCACCGACTCGAACCCTCAGCTGAAAGATCCCTTTCAGTCACCATGCCCCTCCCTTCCAACCTCCCCACCTTGTAACTGCCGCACTATATCTTTCCCCCTATCCCTCTTCCTCCCTTCAACGTATTCTCCCTCCTGTTACCCCCGTCCTTTGGCTGTCACTACGCTTGCCCCCAGGCCTCAGCCCTCCTCCCAAACCCATGTTTCCCTCCTCCCATGGCCTCCACGTATACCTCAAGCCCCCCTCAGAGTATGCTATTTCCTGTAACCGAAAGCGGTTGCCATAACGAAGAATTAACGTTCGTAACGTCACGCAACGGATGAGGCTTTTTTTTTCGGGCACGAGAGGCGTCTCACAGATCGCAGACGATGCCGCAGAACCCCATCTCGAAGAAGCGCAAGGTATGGCGGCGGAGGGAAGATACATGCGATGATCAGCCATGCACGGGCGAAAAACCTGAATGATGTGCAACTTTCAGTGCGAACAAGAGAGATGGCTTGCTTGTAGTGGTTGTATCTGCACAGTGATAGGTTGGCTCTGTCTGCACCTTTTCATTGAGGAGCAAAACTGTTCGATACATTTTTTTGCTTTCCCTCTGTATTCAGACGATGTCTTCATGTATATTGATTCATCACTATGTGTTTGACATATTGTTTCAACCTCCGTGAGACATTTTACCTGACATGACGGGTCCTGCAGTTCGTACAAGACGGAGTGCTCTATGCTGAGCTCAATGAGATGCTCATGCACGAGCTCGCTGAGGATGGCTACTCTGGCGTTGAGATCCGCCGTACCCCCATGAGGACGGAGATCATCATCCGTGCCACCAGGACCCGCGAAGTTCTTGGCGAGAAGGGTCAGCGCATCCGCGAGCTCACTTCGGCTGTCCAGAAGCGTTTTGGATTTGCTGAGGGAACCGTGGAGATGTTCGCGGAACGTGTCCACAACCGTGGTCTCTCTGCCATGGCTCAGGCTGAGTCTTTGAAATTCAAGCTTCTCGGAGGTCTTCAGGTCCGCAGGGCCTGCTATGGTGTCATCCGCTTTGTCATGGAGAGCGGTGCCCTGGGGGTTGAGGTTATAGTTTCTGGAAAGGCTCGTGTTCAGCGTGCCAAGTCGATGAAGTTCAAGTCTGGATTTCTCATCACCACTGGTAGACCCGCTCAGGTTATTCACTCGCCGTGGAGGTTGTTGCCCGCTGAAGTTACGTCAGGTGTTCATCGACAAGGCTACTCGCCACGTCATGATGAAGCAGGGTGTTTTGGGTATCCGCCTCAAGATTATGCTTCCCCACGATCCTGAGGGCAAGAACGGACCCAAGACTCCCTTCCCTGACACCGTTACCATCCTCGACCCCAAGGAGGACAAGCCCCCTGTCGTTCCAACCAAGGTGAGCAAGCAGATCTGACTGGCAAATTATCTTGTTCTTATGCGATGCTGTAGGGTGACGAGAAGGCTTTCGCTGCACCAACCATGGGTGCCCCTCGTGCGATGGGTGCTGCTCCCATGTACCCTTAAGCATTTTAAAGGAATGAACTACAAAATGAATCTCGATGTGTTGACAATTTATTGACAACTGTGCGATGATATTTCTAGATTATACTGCCAACAATCGATCTGACTTCCATTAGAACAACAAATTTATCCACGTCTGTTCATGTGTTAGCATGGTCAAAAATTATCAATGGTCATGAAAAATGGTTACCCAGGCAACTTCTTTCCATGACCCATCAAGCTCCACACGCTGTATCCAACAGAACCCAATCCGACGACAGCAATAGTAGCAGCCATAAGGTTCACAATGCCATCACCCTTGCCTGCAGCATCCTCGTCAACTTTGTGTGGTGACCCGGTTGGTTATGTACCCATCTGATGGACGTTGGCAAAGAACTTGCCGTAATGAGCCTGAGCACCACGCACGAGGTTGGACATGCCTGCAAATGAAATCAGCTGTTATGATCAAATCACTCGGGAAAATCTGTTAGTTCTAGGGCGAAAGAGGCAAAACCAATACAATACGACGAAATCATCATCATTTTCTTCTTGCAATTGTACTACAATGCTCAAGCACAGATTCATCTAAAAACACGAGCCTGCGCTTATCACGCAAGTAAACAACTACCTGAGCCCTGTCTTGACGAAACAAAAGTACAATTATGCAACAACTTCAACGCAAAACTACACCAACATTCAGGGGCCGATTATAGGCATACAATTGTCTCATAGCGCTTCAACACCGACCACACAGTTTTGTTGACAAGATATCCTTCGATAGCGATTGGAACGATGACACAAAAATTTACAAAAAATGAGACATTCACATGTTAGATATGCACAGGTTCCATGCCTATTCTCCATTTTCACAACTCTTCAAGTATCAGACCCTTCCGTCCCTTTGCTTCACTATCGCCATTCTCTACCACGTAAAATTTACATCTCTCACATTTGTGTTTGCAGAATCTCAAATATCAGTTCAGGTTCTTTTCTTTTCGCAACTTCCACATGCATTGTCATCTTTCGGCTCCTTCCTGCTCCCCTGCCTTCTCATCTCCTTCCTCTCCAATGCAGCCGCAGCCGTCGCGCTCTCACCCACCCCTCACCCCACCCACCCCCTCGTGTTCTCACACCCACCACAATCTCGTACCCCCAAGAATCTCCTATCACCCCTTCTAAATGGCTACCCACCCTCCAAATCCAATTGTGCACAGTATCAAAAATCTCTTTGGACCCAACGCACTGAATCACCCCCACCCACATTAAAACCTTATTCCATCACTAACCCCTAGTATCCCCTGGACTAGTTACACCCCCAGCACCTTCACCCACCTCCATCACCAGAGTGTTACCCACCTCCCACCCCCTGATTGACTGTTCCTACCACCTTTAGTCGCCTACCCCCTCGTCTTCCTTACTTGACCCCTACCCACCTTATTCGCCACAGAGAAGCAAAAGGACATACATAACCAACAAGTAGGGGTTATATCATCTGTTAAAGTACGGGTGATGATACTCCAAATTTTCTAAACAGGTTGGGGTACATCAAAATTGAGGTGTAGGGTGGGTGAGGTTGGGGTACGGTTGCAACGTATAAGAGTCCGTTACAAGGTTGTAACGCTATGGCATAATGGCGGGAAGATTTTCAAGGGGGTGTAGAGAGGAGGTGAAGGGTGAGGAGAGGAGCAGGTAGACATCAGGAAGAGAGGATGGGACAAAGGGAGATAGAAAACTCTACTGAAGCACAAGATTCATGCTAGCGAGGAGGAGGAGGAGGAGAAGGAGTAGGCCGGGGGGGGGGGTGTAGCTAGCAAAGGAGGCTGCGGCATAGAAGTAATACAAACCTGATGCAAAGGAGAGGAAGAGTAGAGAAATTATTATAAGTTAAGAAACATGGACTGGTGAGAGATAAAGTCGAAGGAAAGTTCCATTTCAGAAGGAAAGTAAGGTATATGCTACAGCCCTTGTGACCTCATGACGAGAATGCATTGAACGAACAGCAAAGTTCGATGAGAATTTTTTTGAGTGAAATGTTCAAACTTCTGGGACAGAGTCATAAAGGAGGACATGTGATGGATGAAGGCGAAAGAAAGGAGATATTCACCAAATCTGTCGTGGGTACGGGTGCTTCCTGAAGATCAAGCAACCTGATGGAAATGAGGGAGAGGGCGGGAAGGGGCGGGGGGAGGTGCACGATGTGAGTGAATGAGGGGCAGATAGACTAGTATTCGGAAGAGTCACAACAGGGCTAGAAGCATTCTTGCAGGATCCTAGGTAGTCAACGCATAAAGAGAGGAGCAAGATGGTGAGCGAATTAGCAAGGAAACTGTGAATGCCGAGACATGACGGGAGCAAGAAGAGAACGAAGAGCATCGCAAAGGTTTAGGATACGGGTTACAGATGTAGAGACAAGTAATCGAGCCTGATCGCTGATGAGCAGATGGCATACACTAACAACGAGGAAGACAACACACCGGTCATCTCTGCCATTGAGTCGGTATATTGTGAGCAACGCTGTGACTTGAAGATTGACATGCTTGCAGGCCCGTGCGCACCGTCTAGGTACAGTTTTCTGACCGAATGTACTGATGTTTTGATGTCATCATTTCTAGAAAAAGGAGTTTACCAGCTCATTCTCGCTCTTGCCATCGGATTTCTTGCCGGCTATGCAGTTGCAAAGGCACATTAGGAGAGATGGAGAGGTTTTCTATAGGAATTTTGTAAATGTGAGAAGCAAGCTTGTCAGACGTAACCAAGATCAATGAAGTTTGAAACGAGACGGTCATGGATTGTGTGAGGGTGACAACTGTCTGTCAAGGCAGCCGGAGTGCAAAGTCGATAATAGTGAGCGTCACACCTTGACAGGAAAGCGTTCACAGAAGAATGTTCTACTGCTGTGAACATAGCAACTAATGGTACAGGAGACAACGCCTGTTATAATAGCACATCAACTCAAGCTCCGACGTGGAAATCATCTGCAATATGATCATTCCAAGGTTTTGGTCGTCACAGTAAAGCCAACGAACCTCAGCCCGAAGACATCCCCTCCGTCGTAAAGAGAGATAGCCTAGCATATCCTTAGAAGACTGCGAGGAGACGACTCGTTTACCAGGCAGCTCGCCAGCCTTTCTTTGCTATCATACGGGGGAAGGAGTAACTCGTTGAAGCATGTGTTTGCCTGCCCAGTGGCTCACTTTCCATACCCCTTGACCCACATCCATCGCACCTGAGGCAGGCGGGTCGTGTCGTACACACGGATGATCTGAAATCGTTTCGGTCCAGTGGCTCCATAGAGCCCTTGTAAGGTCCCTTGAGTCCCAAAAGCACAAGCACCATGTGTGTTTTACCGCTAAAGCCTCCGGTTGGCACTCTGCTTGTCCCCGTGACGAACTGCAGAAGTTTCGCTCTCATCTCCTGTCAGCACGTCATCTCTTGCATGACCAACACAAGTAGACAAGCACCTCATCCCAACTCTCCACGAGCTCCCAAAACCATAGCATCACTTCATGATCTGCTGTGTAGCCCGCCTGCAACTTCCCTTCAGACACGACATGGCGACTCCAATCGTTTACCTTGTATTCGCAATTCTCCTTCCAGTCGGCTATGTCGATCGTAGGCATTCCACACAGAAGCAGCTACACATCAATCAGATCAAGGGATACAAACAAGCATCAAAAGCATCAAAACCTCGAGCTCATCTTCCGTAAACTTGAGAAGCACATCTTGGGGCATAATGTCATAGAATCCTGTGGTGGCCCTTGAATTAGTGGATGACCTTCGAGGAGGTTCAAAGGCACCTGCTTTTAGCGAGTCTAGTTGTGGCTGCACGCTCTTGACTAGTCTCCGGTCACAAAGGAGCTAGAGGCTGGTAATCAAACAAGAGGGTATGGGAAATGGAACAGAAACCTCCAGGTACTCGTGCTTGTTGTCGTTTGTGACCCGGATGGATTCGCCATTCTGTGTGTGTTCTAAGCAAACGGCAATGTATAAGCAACCGGGTACCTCTTTGAGCGGAACCTGAACTATCGATCCGAATTCTTCTTCTTCAATAACGAAGTATAGGTCCAGGTCTGCAGCTTCGATATCGTTGTCTGCGGAAAGATAAGTGCAAATCTCACATGCGGAATAGATGGAGAATTCTGACCGAGAAACCACTGTAATGAGCTATGATACACGGGATCAACACGGGACATGTCATCAAATCCTATATCACGCTCCAAAAGGTACTGTTGAATCAAGTCAGGGAAAACAATTCGACGATGTGAGGGTCTTCGCATCACTTTGTAAATGGTTGAAGCGAAATTTGACTCCACAAGAAATCCTGCACTATGCAGTGAACAAGTTCTTCTGCTTTGCAGTCCAGCAAATACCGTCAAAGATGGCTTTCCCCCACACCCTCCCAATAAAGCGAAAGTAGTCGAGATGATGCGATTGATGCTTTGAAGCAGAGTTCACCTAGGGAGAAGTCAGAAACCCTCAGCACAAAACAAATTGTGTCCAAAAGAACCTGAAAGGTTCTGTTTTTCCCCACAGGTGTGAACAATGCATACGCCGGGTTGACCACCTACCAGTGCATTCAGAGTGCATGGTCCAAGGAAAACAACAATACCTCTCTACTTATCAACATAAACCAATGCCTGGTTAACCCTCCGTCGTCCCTTCCATCTTCTCTCTTGAACTTAATCTAGATACCCACACTTAAGGAGACTGTCTTTGGGAAGAGCAGGCATCTGTTCAACCTGTAACGGCCCTTGAAGTTGTTCACCAGAAAACTTGGCAAACGATCGGAATGAATCATAAAATAGATCGTTCCTGTCCACTTCCAACTTCACCGACTTTGCATCCAGCCTGACAAAACATTGCTAAGAACGTGTCACCAGCATGAACATTGATGAAGTACTTGTGTTTTAGCCTTAATTGTTGTTCCAACCACTTGTTTTTCAGATGAAAGGCAGACTCCTTTGATTCCTGATTACAAGTATGCTCATTAAAAGGAAAGTAAAACGCATGATTAAAAGATAGGTTTTTTTACCTTCATGAGTTCAATGTCATCAAATGAAATTTCTGCCATGTCTATCACAACATCATCTAATTTTCCATCCACCTATCAAAAAATCATCATTTGAGGAGTGAATTAATATGAAACAAAATATTACTGGGGCAGCTCTTGGCACCCTGTAGGGACTCTGAACAACATTTCTGTTTCCAGCATGCACCTCTCGGTTTCGTTGCTATGTTCATTCATTCAATGCTGGGCGGCAGCGCCCACTTAGCATCTCAAGGCTTACCTCGATGGCGATGGCAATTGCTCGTCGTAAGCTGTTGTCGTCTCTCCTCTCGTGGCGCTCAGAGTGGTTGGACTGTCTTCTCCTTCTCCGACGCCATAAACAACCGGCTCCTGAAATTCTATTCAGCAATCCAACCAATCGTATAAAAGAAGAGAGCGACCTGAAAGGATAAATGACATGACGACAAATCCTTTGAGAATATCATTGAGGGTATCCTCGGAATTTGTGGGGAATGCAGGAATCAAATGCATAGTTGAGGCCTCAATAGAATATGATACAAACTTTGAATCAAATTGGAAATAGATACTTCTCCAAATCGACCGAAGGATGAGTTAGATCAGAGGCATCTCATCAAGATTGATTTAACGGCACGATATCAGATCTGGCCAAGGGTAGTAACTTTAGATCCGGCATAGTGTCCTACTATATGGGCTTGCTTCAAACAATTCAGAGGTGTACTTCTCCATCATTTTTCTGAAAGAGCATCTAATCAGTTTGGAATTGAACATGAACAACAAAGACAGCATTCGGCAATTCCTGGTCTACTTCAGTGTGTCTAATTGCACACGCCATCATCTCTACATGCACAGCTATTTCAAATTCATGTTCAAAGCCGCATATGCAACACCGTAACTGATCGGTCTCAAATGAACCTTCACTGCTCTACCTCGTCTAAATACGAATGACGATTTCTTTCTTGATTACGCGTCACATAAATTTTGTTTGTATATCACAATCATGAAGACAGATCGAAAAATCCTTGCATGGAATTCTGCATTTCCAAAAATTTCACTTGCGCAAAGTCTCAAAGAGCAGTACAGCGCCGAAAAATGTCTCAGTACCCGCTGGTTCCTATACGCAAATACTTTTCACGACTGCAGTACAGGACATAATGCTCCATAGGTAAATTTCATTCCCATGTGCCTTGCCAAAAAAAGGCAAGCTTCCAAAAACTTGTCTTGCAGCCCATAATCGTAGTTGAGAGGCATATATGCTTCGTATTGAAGTCACGTCCTTCAAGCAGGAGTGATGGGAAACCACGTCCTCCATTCTTGGTACCCTTCGCTGCCTTCCTCCCCCCTATCGGCTCCTCTCCTTCTCCCTCCATCTCGTCGACCCTGCCTCCATTCCCCCTACTAGGATTGCATGATCACAGCTCTAACAGGTCGTTCACTAATAACCAAGAAATAGGTTAAGATAGCAGAACCATACTAGATACTCGTTATTTCCTATGACCTCTTAGTTCTTGCTAGTGAGCAAGTCTGTATGCGCGAACTCCGAATAGACAAAATTATCCTAATAACAATATTAATGGCTATGTTAGTTACTGAAGACCTTTGCGACCTCAAGGCATTTTAGAAACTCGAGTACCCCTCCTGTAATCTATCGACTACCCCACCCCCTGCTTGCCCCAGGACCACCCTCGGTCAGTCTAATAAATTTCACCACCACACCCATTCAAAACTCATCTCCATGTACCACCCCACCCACCCCATGATGTCCGTGACTTTTTGATTTCTCCCCAGGTCTACCTTGCCCTGCTTTCCCTACCCCCACCCACCTTTTACCCTAATCCTCCCCACAAAAATAAGCTTCCTCCTCCAGTACGTACCACTTACCCCCCTACCCTGACATATTATATCTACCCAGTTTCGTCCTAGAAAGTACCGGTGGTAGCCCTGGAAACTTTGGCGGCACAGTGCCGTGTCACGCGGCCACGCGGCCCGCCGGGCCCCGGCCGGCCGGGCGGCCGCGCGCTCCGAGGCTCCGCCGCCGCCGCCCGCGGTACTACTATCAGTGACTACGTACTAGCCGCGCGGTCAGACCGGCGCCGGGCGGTCACTGAATCATTGCCCGTGACTCTCATCAGCACGGTGATGTGCCGCCGGCGGCACGCCGCAGTATAGTACGGTACTACTGTTCAGTGTCACGGTGACGGTGCGTCCGGCCGCGGCCAACTTACGGTTACTCAAACCGGGCCGGCCCGGGCCGCCGGCGGCCGGGCCGGGCCGGCGGCCGGGCCGGTGGTGACCCGGCGCCCGGCCCGGCGGTGCCACCCTGCCAGGGCAGTGACTCGGAATGACTCTCAGTGAATCGCGAAAGGTTATGAGCTATGTTGCAGGGATCGATGCTAGATTTTAGTAGGGTAGGGTGGTGAAAAGGAGTAATCCGCCTCAGACTATGCTTCACATACCCGTTGGGTACACCGGCAAATTGCACTCAAACTCCACCGGTGGTATGGCTGCAATAAGATCTGAGGTGGGGTGGTGCTGTACTGGTATCCATGATTTTGGTACCCACCCTACACACCTTACAAAATGAAAGTCACTGATCACCCCAACAAAAGACCCTTTTATTCTACTCACTACCCCCACCCGCTCGTTTCTACCATCAAGTAGTCTTCCCGGCAATTCTCCTATAGCACCCCATCTCCTATCCCACCCGACCCCACCCCACCTCGCAGAAACCCCCTTACACCAGTCACCACACCCTACAATCAGACCGGTGCTCAACCTCACCATCAGTCAATCTAAATGACCCCACCGTTGTCCCTGCACCCGACCTACAACCACCCCAGTATATACCCATTCATCCACCATGGATGTACCATTCCAATAAATGTGAACAATTTCAAATTAATAGGGCAAGTTTCAATTATGAGAAGGAAATATGGTCTAGTTTTCGAAATTTCAAATCATAATTTGTGAAAGGGTAGCTGTTTCCCCTACCCCCTGAGCTTACCAAACTCATCCACCACCCCAGGCAAACCCGTTGCATCCCACCAACAGAGTACCCACCCTTTCTCAATCCACATTTCACCGGTACTGTCTTCTGAAATCTGGGGAACCCGTCGCTTTTCCCAAGTGTGACCCCACCCTTCTGTTCAAGCTCTCCACCCACCCTGATTTTCAAATTATACAATAACGAATTTTGAGTATAGGTGGGTCATCACCCCCACCTTCGGATAATCTGCGGAGTACCCCTACCCCTCGAATTGGCCGCTCGCTCCTCTGCCGATGGCGCGCAGCCGCCTGGACGCTATGGAAACTCTACCATCCTTCAAAGGTTCAGATGAAATGATCGTTTTGATGGATTGTTAAGATATGTATGCTTCTCATGAGCAAACTCCTTGCATAGCAATACTTTCTGAATTTGAGTTCTCGCACTCTGGCATTGCCCAAACCACTTTCAGTTTTCCTATTTCTCACATCCATACTTTGTTGATTGACATTTGCCCAGTCACATCGGTTGATTTTGAAATGATCAGTATGCACTTGAGTTCATTGTCATATTACGCAATACTGTGTCTATCTCCTTGCTTCTCTGACCCTCAAATTAATCCTGCAAAAGTCTGTGCTTTACCCCTTCACAGTAGGTTTTCTGAGTATTGAGCTGCATAATCCACTGACACAGTCCTGGATGTCTGATGTACAGACTTTGTTGTTGATCATTACAGGGCAATTTTTGAGCATGTCCTATGACGTCCATTGTGAAATTAATCGTCTTCCCTTTTCTTATTTGAACTACTGGCATTGAAGCATCTGCGAATGGTTGATTTGTTCATTCATATCAATGCATGATCTGATGTATCATAAATTTTCTTTACATGATCTGATTGAATCAAGCGAAAAAATGCGAATGCCTAGTCATGAATTGTCTTGCTTTCATACATGATTTAGAATTTTTCTCTGATATTTGCTGTGTACAGAAGTACCAAACAGTGAGCGTGCGAATCTTTTTGTGCGAAAATTGCGCCTTTGTGGCATCATTTGCGATTTCACTGATGGAGGAGGAACGGATAGAGACAAGGAAATCAAGCGACAGGTTTTTTTTTTCGGATTGATGATTTCCTGTCGCTGAAATCTATCTGTCTTCATGAAAGACGCTTTTGGAGCTTGTAGATTACGTGAACAGTGCAAAGCAACCTTTCGTCGAGGGAATCATGCCCGAAGTTGTGACAATGGTCCTTGCCTTTCATGGAAATCCGATGTCAAGATAACAGGAAATTGATAGGTTTCTGCGAATATCTTTCGCCAGTTGCCTGCTCGTCCAAAGGACACACCGTTCGATCCAGAGGAAGATGAACCTATCCTTGAACCTGTATCTTTCCTTCTTCTTGAAATTTCTTCGATTTACTATGTTCTAGGCTTGGCCTCACTTGCATATCGTTTACGAATTTTTTCTTCGTTTCGTTGTCTCTGGTTCAACTGAGGCCAAGGTCGAAGAATCCATAATTTTCTAGGAAATGTTTTGAATCGTGCTACAGGTTGCCAGAAAGTACATCGACACAACTCTGATCACAAGATTTCTTGAGCTGTTTGACTCTGAAGACCCACGCGAGAGAGACTACTTGAAAACCATTCTTCACCGAATTTATGGAAAATTCATGCCTCATCGTGCTTTCATCAGAAAGGTGCATCTATTCTCGGTAACTTGACAGCATTGTAAGCATTGTCAAATAGGCCATCAGCAACGTCTTTTACCGCTTTATTTATGAAACAGAGAGACACAACGGCATTGCTGAGCTTCTGGAAATCCTTGGAAGCATTATCAACGGATTCGCATTGCCATTGAAAGACGAGCACAAGCAATTCCTATCAAGAGCACTTATTCCTCTGCACAAGCCATCAGGCTCCTGCATTCAGCAATACCACCAGCAGCTATCCTATTGCATTACTCAATATTTGGAGAAGGATCCAAAGCTCGCGGATATTGTCAGTCTTTCCACTTGTACTTCTATTGACTTAACTTACTGATTTGACAGATTTTGAGAGGGTTGATAAAGTACTGGCCGCATACTAACAGTTCCAAAGAAGTCATGTTTTTGAATGAGCTGGAAGAGTTGTTAGAACTGACTCAGGTGACCATTTGGAAAGATTTCTTGTCATTTCATTCTGATGTTCGTGCAAGTCGGCTGAATTCGCCAAAGTTGCTGAGCCCTTGTTTCGTCTGATTGCAAGATGTATCAACTCCCCACATTTCCAGGTCTGGTTTCTGTTCCTGCATTGCGAATCAAAAGTTGATTTTGATTTGAAACAGGTGGCTGAGAGAGCGCTTTTTCTATGGAACAACGAATACATTGTCTCCTTGATTGCTAAGAGCAGAGACGTAATTTTGCCCGTGTTGTATCCTGCTCTCGAAGCAAACACAACGAAGCACTGGAATAGGTATGATTTGACTGATGTGTGTCATTCATTTAACTTTTTGATCTACACAGCACTGTTCATGGACTGACCTTCAACGTCCAAAAGCTTTTCATGGACATGGATGCAAGGTTGTGGGAGGAATGCACGCAAAAACATAAGATGAACATGGAGAAGTACGTTATCTGCTGATTTCAGCATGAAAGTAACCTGTCGACAGGAATGCAGCTGCGCATTTGTCGAGGAAACAGAAATGGGAACAGCTCGAGCGGGCAGTTGGTGTAAAGGGATAGAGATACTGATACAAAACAGTGGAATCAGGAACGACTGAATGTGTTAAATGAATCGCAGATAAACCGCCAGAAGACAGAGCTGTGTGATACAGCATACACAATACAGTTAGCATCAGCAGTGGTTTTCTTTGGGAGTCTTCATTTGCAATCTTTCTGTTTCTCATTTTCTAGCTCAATGTGACGTAGACGCAACCATGACATGTGTTTCATAATTATTTTCCCTGCTTGCTTTTTCAGTGTGACTGCGATCCGATCATGATCGTTGCCACACTTGTTGGCTTCGTCTCCATCGGTAATTGCAAGGGTAGACAAGACATTCTGCAAAGATTTCTCTAGCATCTGCAGCGCCTCCGTCTCGTTCTGTAGTGAAACCGGTGAGTCTTCGTCAGCCTCGAGCAGTTTGTCGAAGAAGGAGGCATCATAAATTCCGTTCGCGAGATACGCCGACCATCGAAGGAAGGTCAAGATGTTCCACGACAACTCCGCTGGTGCCCCTTCGTCCCCTGCGTACAGTTCGAATTCCAGCCATGATGCTGCTTTCGTTTCACCCATTCTTGGAGCGCGGGAGTTCGTCCCATCCTCTTCTACCTCCTTTCCGAAGCTGATGATCATATCCTGCATGCGACGAAACTCGGACTTGAGGGTAGGGGTAGCGATCAAGTGCTCAGGTGGGTTGGGAGGATGACGCAGCCATAGCATGCAGGAGTCGAGCGGGTTGTCCTCTAGGACGAAGCCATAGTGCTCCAAGAGCCCTGCGTTGCTCCAATTGCCGTAGTGAATCATCACCTGCTCGCCCTCCTCGTAGGAACGCAAGCAGGTGACACGGTAGACCATGGCGTCCTTACAGAAGCCACATGCGGCAACGGGGGCAGTGGAATGATTGAGGAAGTCGAGGACAGGAACAAGGCATCCGACCGTCTCTCCTCGTAGGCTGTACCCGCTCTTCCTCTCGTAGTGGCAGCTCCTTGTACTTACCGTCCCTGCTGCCCACAGGTAGTCCTCCCTTGAAAAGCTACTGAAACCGAGCTGGATCCTCTCAGCTTCCTCAGCGGCCTCCGGCTCGTTCCATGAACGCTTCTTGCAACGTGACAGGAGCCTTTGTAGCTGCGAGAATTCGTCGTTGACAACTCGCTTGCGACGAGCTGCGATAGCAAGGAAGGGCTTGAGAGTGTCAGGTCGAGGCCCTTCACATCCATGACAGTCACCTTGTACTGCAGTCGCGCCACGCTCTGCTCACTCCAGTTCTCCAGAGTGTCGTAGCTGGGAGGGATGGATCGGATGAACCTGACAGGCACCCACGAAGTTCAGGTGCTCATGACACGTCCCAGCCTGCGCTCACCTCCACCATCTCGATCGTTCGGCCTTCCATTTCTCGACGAGGAGGTGGAGGGAAAGAAGCTGCCTCTCACACAATTGCTCGTCTTCCTGCGAAGCCGCCTTGACGACTTCTCTAACAAACCTGCACTCCATGGCTGAGTCCGCAGACAAGAGTAGGTGTGAAGGTATCTCCAGCACCACCTCGCCTGCGCTAGATGCGTCACATCGGCGGGGACAGTCCATCATATGGATTTTCCACCTTCTGCTATGGATCGAGTTGACTTCATTCCTCGGCATCTTGTGGATTCGAAGTATGCTGGCTGGAGGGGAGGAGGCTGCATCCCCTCCGCACATGCCCAGGTAAGAAGCTCGTCCATGGGGGAGAAGGATGAAATACAGCGAGGGGGCCCTCAGGGCACACAAAAACTTCTCTTGTTGTGTGCAAGGATCTTGTAAAGCTCTGCCTGCTCCTCCTACCTGCTCCTCCTACCTGCTCCTCCTACCTGCTCCTCCTGCCTGCTCCTCCTGCCTGCTCCTCCTGCCTGCCTTCCTGCCTGCTCCTTCTCTCACTCTTCCCTTCGCATCTCCCTCCTCTCTGATAACCTTCCCTTCCCCTCCATCACGAATTTCCTCCCCCATAATAATCGAGCCTGCCTCACGGATTTTATCTACACTTGCAAAAGGGCAGCAGATAAATTACAAATTTTCTATAGCATATCCGCTGCCACTCATGATGGCATGAAATTTTGGGGCACGTGCCAATGCAACCGGAGCGAAGAGAGGATGGCAGGCTGGAAGGAGGAAGAGGAGGATAAGAGGGATGAGATGGTGATGGTGATGAAAGCTGATGGTGATGGT